AAGCAAACTACAAGCATATGATTTCTTATCACACATCTTTTACAGCATAGTGGAGAGCGAGCCCTGGATTACATTTCAAAGACATCAATTCAACAAGCTTGGATGCTGCAGTCAACAATTGTGGTCTGGGACATCCACAGGCCCAGCTATATCCTAGAGGTCATAAAGAAATGCTTTGTGGATATCCTAACCTTTGAGAGGGGGCTCTTTAGATGTGGAATCCACGAATATTTTTATCACTTTTTGAAATATCAACTGTAAATAAAATTATTTTCCTTAAAACAATTTAAAAACTTCCTCAAACTCTCCAAGAAGTTCATTTTAAAACGTGAATCGCAATGTTATCAAACGGTGCCACGAATGCTGTGAAGACCAGTAAGAGCGCCCCCTATAGAGCAATATAATAACTCCTGTTCCAGATGTACACATCTGTATAGCTGCTTACTTCTGTGGGCTCCGCCTCCTGCTGTACAGCAGACAGGGGACACGGTATAAGTAGAAAAGACAGTTCGACGTGAGATACTATGTCGAATATCAGAGTCTAAATAAAATGTATTGATGTAAAAGTAAATGAAAAGTTTAGAGTTAAGTTAATAGTTGATTTCATAGTCAACAACGACGAATGAGAACCGCTATTCGCGCGTAAGGCCAACACAGCAAACCAATGCCAATTGTATCAAGTTATAAAGTCCTGTCCTCTGTTTAAACCCAGTTACTCTTCAAGCACATGAAGAATATTTGAGGAACGAGATGGTACCACTTGCGTTCAATGCAATCAGACTACTAAAAGTCAAATAAAAAAGCTCACGAGGAAAACGCGCAAACAAAATGATTTGCATTAACAAATAATACACAAATAGTGGACAAAATCCTACTTTCTTTGGCACTGATGCTTACCCAGGAGCTTTGCATACATTCTTGCCTTTAGGGTTGAGGTCTTGGCTGAAACTGGAGCAAAACAAGAGACAAACCACCGCAACAACAGCGAAACAGTTCTTCACTTCCATTGTACAGGCAACAGCATCCTTCTAGACGCCGTTTTTACTCCGCATTTCCCTTCTCCAAAAGTGATGATAGCTGGCTTTTCACTGGCTTTTAAACAGTCCACTTTGTTTCAAGCGCATACTGAAGATGTGTCTGCATTATAAATATCAAATCCAAAAGCAAAAAAAGTGATTTCAAAACTTCTGCCACCACCTACGCCATCGAGAGACTCAGCAGCGAAAAAGTGACCAGAGACAGCAATCCCAACTGAACAGCTAAAAAAAAAAGTCATAAAACCGAAACTTCTCGCAAATCACAGTATTCTTGGTAAACGTTGTTTTCCTGCAGTGCGCCGTTTATTCCATCAAAAAAGGAGGCCATCATTCATAGTTGATGAGTCCAGACTCATAATGGAATAAAAACAACTTTTTGTCCAACATAATGTCCTCAACGCATCTGGAAACGTGTAGATCGATGATAATCTTGACAAAAGATTACGGCAAATTAGCTGCCTTTCGCTTTTTCCTCTTGGAGGACAAGCGCTTAATCCGTAACTTTTGTCCTCTCTTGCGCTCCCAGGAGTGGCAGGAGGGAAATGCTATGGAAAGCCAAGCAGTTCAAATATGCATGACTTTCAACGTGTTGTTAGCAGGTTCATTCTTCACAGGTTGAGGAAGTGTTCACAACACGTTAAACAAGACCTTGACAATGTGTGATCCCAGGTATTGATTTAACATAATTCTAAGCTACTTGTCAAGTTTATACAGGTGAGTGTCTTAAATTCCCGCTGGCTGCTAAGGACTAAGGTTAAAGCATTGCTGTAGGGTTAGGGGTTGCATACCACTACTTAACATGTTCTGGATCCTCCTATTTCTTTGTCATTTACTTCCTTTTTTACATATAACTTTTTTGGATTGCAGGTTTATGACTTAAATTGCCTCCTTTTGCACCACTAATGCCTTTTATGGGTAAACAAACCTATTAGTTAATACATAGCTTAGACCAGCAGGGCACATACTCGACTATACTCTTTATTAAGATGAAATGGGCAAATAATGACAGGCAATGACTGGTTACAGTCCCTGCATTTTCTTCAGCTAGCGTTTTCCCTACTGTACTTACCTGACTGTTATATTGTGCTTTGCTATTGTCATACTCTGTTGCACAGATAGTATAATATTGGAATAACATTTATTTATTTATGATCTACATATTGATTGGATTTCAACTTTTACCATGACAGATAATCAGCCATTAACCATTAGACCAGATTTCTGTAAGATTTGCATTATTTGGTGATTGCATTCTGGAAAATGTTCAGAAACCCCGATGACCATACATTTTCGAAACTTTAGGAAGTCAAATACCAATCAGCTGTTGTTGATGTGGCAATAAATGATTGAATCTTAATATTTACAGGATACATAACAAATGAAGAAAATGACAAAGAACATCCAGAGCATGTTAAGATAGTTGTAGGCAACAAAATGTGTGAAATATGAACGTGTTGACAATGCATTGGTTGCATTGTCAACCGCAAAGAACGCGTTAAAAGTCATGTATATTTGAACTGCTTGGCTTTCCATACATTCCTGATTCGTTACTCTATCTTTGGCTCCGTGCGCCGTGCGTGCGCCACCAAATTTACATAGGCCTGTGTGCAACAGGGTCTGTTTTAATGGCCTAGGTTATGAAACAGCCTATTTTTTAAAAATAAAGAAATAAAGAAAACAACTTAATATAGACAATTAGCATAGGAAACCATAGCTCCATTGTGTCATAAAAATGACCACTATTGTCATTATTATCACTAGTTGCGTATTTCAAACATCTGCCATAGTCATACAGAATGTATACATTATAATTTATATATGATTTGTAGAACAGTAAACACTAAATTATGGCAGTTTTTAATTGATGGCTGGGAAGTGTGTGTGTGTGCCTTTGTGTGTTATGTGTGGTTGGTTTTTTTTTGTTCATTTCTTTTTGTTTACGGGTTGGGTTGTTTTTTGCTTCGGTCTCGGGTCTTGTTCTTTCGGTTGTTTGGTTCTTTGTTTGTGTTTGGTTTTTTTTTCTTTTGGCTTTTTTTTTTTCTTTTTTTTTGTCTTTCTTCGTTGTTTGTTTTGTTTTTTTTTTTTTTTTTTTTTATATGGGGCAGCAGTGTAATAACTACATGTTAGACAATGGCTCCCCCATCTGTTAACACAGAGTAATTTTAGCATTTGGCACCTCCTGCATTAAATAAATGCAAGAACAAGGCCTCTTAACCATTGCAAGCTGTAGGGTAGAGCCAAGAGAAATATCATGTTTTTCATTCATTACATCAGATGCCTTTTTCTACTAATAGCTACACAATACTATGTGCCTGGGGTCTCACTGGAGCACATCTCATTCCAGCCCTAGGCTTTGAAGAGGTTCCTGTCTGAAATAAAGTCATTCATTACCCATTTTTATGCCTTGTTTGTAATTTAATTCTACTGGCATAACCTGTGATCCATATGTCAACAAAACCCACTGCCAAAATACAAAACAGAAAACTGCTATGACCCTAATTTGTTTGACAGGTCTTTTATATACGGTTTAACATTAGACAACTATAATTTATGATAAATAATGCTTTGTGATGTTGTGAGTGTAATTCACATGGTCAAAATGAATGTGCTTTGTTATGCATGACAAAAATGTTCCAGGGGTGAACTGCGAGTCCTACGTTGTAAGCATGAGACTGTTTGTCTTGGAGATTGTGATAAAAAGTGTCATTGGTTGCTTGTTTCGCCACCAAGTGAGAGCAAATTATGTGACTGACTCACATGAATATTGTTTCAGCCAATCCCAAAGTGGCAAGGTCTCCATGTCAGAAAGGTTTCTGAAAACAATCAGGAATTAATTTAGGTCATTTAAGTAAAAGTAGCAATGCCACAATTACAAGTAAAAGAACAAACCTACTTTGTTATATTGTTGTATTATGTAACTCAAGTAAAAGTAGCTTACATAGTCTAATCAGCAACATGTACTTCACAAGAGTACTCAGCATACAAAATGTCCCCTTTTAAAGTAAAATATTCCTATTAAAATATGTTATTGGTTTACCTGTAGAGAATGTCTGTACTAATGTACAGTGGGTTATGACTGGGCACATACAGTGCATATTCTGACCAGTCTCTATTCTCATGTTATTTTAGTATATAGTATTATTTAATTATGTCTTATCCCATTTGTTTTTGTGATCTATCTATCTATCTAACCTCACTGAGGTACAGCTACTTACGTTACGGTTAAGGTTAAGTAAAGTATTCAGATAGTATTCAGATAGAAAAAAAAGTTACAAGTAAAACTCCTTCCTTCAAAATGATACTAAAAAGTATGTAAGTATAATTACAAAAAAATTAAATGTAAAAAGTACTCAATCCAGAAACACTATCCTCTGTGACTGTTATTATTAATATGTACCGTGTATTTTAATTATTGCGCATTATATTTTTACCCTTACAACTAATGTTTATTTTCATTAGGAATTCCTCTGTTGATTATATTCTCCATGAATCAACTGAGTAGTTTTGTGTGTAAAGAAACCAGCAACTAAAGCCATCAGATCAATGTAGTGAAGTAAGATGTAAAAATGTATTCTGAATTGGAGAGGAGTAGAAGTAAGAAACAAAGAGGAATGAAAAGGAAATACTCACTTAAAGTATCTCAAATGTGTAGTACTTCATTAAATGTACTTAGTTACATTCCATCACAGCAATCTGAATTAAATGTCAACTACAGCTCCACACACAGGTGTGTGCTTACGTTACATTTGTACTTGAGTACATGCTGTTGATTTATTTACTTATAGCGTACCATTAGCTTACATATACTGTACATTGGTAACATTGGCCTGCAGGCTTGCTTAAAAAATGCAGCCACACAAAAATGACACCGACAAACTGTTCTTTTTAGAACATAATATTAGTGTCAGGTGTTACAGTACACCTGGATGTGCACCAGTAGGAAACTCTTGCGTCACAGCTGCGCCACTCCAGTGATGTTGATGTTCCTATGTGTTTACACTGTAGCGTACGCAGCGAGCGCCAACTAATGACACGCGTTTAACCGCTCCGCTGACATCCACCTCCTCCAAGGCTGATGTTTCACGTAAAAACCGTGCCTGCCCTTTCACGGGCAGGGGCGGACATTGCCTTTAAACGCGTATGCTCCAGCCGAAGACTCCGGTCCACCGTCACCTCCACCTCGGTGACCCAGACGGAGCCGCGGGACGGTGTCAGCAGCCGTGGCGGCGCTCGACATGACTCGGCACGGTCGGAGTGTGCCGGTCAGCCGGGAAGCGGAGGAGAGAGAGGAGGCACCACCACCACCACCACTGCTACTGCTAATGAGATCTCCGTAGACTTTGACCAGACACGGGAGGCTTATAAGAGTAAAGACTCATTAGAGCTGCTCAGAAGTTTGGTGGTTTTTAAACTCTGCTCCTATGACTTCCTGGTTGATAAGAATAAAGAGGTAATGAGGTGCTATCTTACCGCGAAGCCCGGTCTTTAAGCATGGAGTCTGTTTGTTAATGGAATTTTACTTGTTCAGACGACTTTATGTTGACAGTATATTAAAGGGTAGTATAATTGTTAACTCTTACATGACATTTTTTTCCTATTGCATACGCGGGAAGAAGGACCGTCGCCATAGAAACAAAAATAGGTTTTACACTTGACGAGACGCCAAAAAATGTGTTATTAGCACTGACTAACAAGCAGTATATTAGGATGGGCACATTTAAATGGCAAACTCTGTATTAATACACACATATAACTCTATATTTATTGCTGGCTGACGGCATGAGCCTCAGTCTTATGTGTAACACCCACTTCTCAAATTACAACCTGTTTTTCTAAGCCTGCAAATGAACCTCTCTGCAGGCCATGTTACATAACCTCAGTTAGATGTCAGGTTATACTGTTAATGTTCATCTGGTGTTAAGCAGGGTGTAATTGGAATCGGTGACAATTATTCATTCAGAAAAGGGTATTTCTTTCAGCCCATGTTGTGATGCATGGCGGTACAGTGCTTTAATGGACTCTGCCTGTCAGTCCTAATCTAATCAATGGAATCAATGGAAAGCTTGTTTGTGGTTGTGGTTGTGAGAGCAAGTAGCTACACCAAATGTGAAGTAGTAATCTAATCTTGTATGACTGATTGTCAGTGTAGCTGCTCTCTGTCCCTGCTTAGCCTTACATGCCATGTGTCGTTTAAAGCTCGAGGGTAAGAACATTCAAATTGTTTTGCTTATGGAAGACCAACTGACTACTTCTTGTCTTTTTCCCATACTGTCGTCTGTCAGGTTGCCCTCAAAACACGCCTATACACAGCCTTGTTTTTTAAATTATAGGGACATAATATACCTGTCAAAAATAAAGGGTTATAATGTCTTCTCCCTTTCTGCTCAGATAATGGATCTAGGTAAGAAGATCATGGGCCAAAAAGGCTTCAACCAGTTCATGAAGATGACATTTTATGGCCAGTTTGTAGCTGGTGAGGACCACATGGCCATCAGGCCGCTGATCCAGAAGAATCAGGCCTTTGGCGTTGGCTCTGTCTTGGACTACAGTGTGGAGGAAGACATCAGCCAGAAGGAGGCCGAGCAGAAAGAGATGAAGTATGAAAGCTGCAATATTTCCATACATTTTAGTAGATATCATATACAAAAAAGATGTTTTTGAGTCCACACTGTCATGGTTTCGAGCACATTTTTCAAGATTTCTTTTTAAAGTTAGCAGAATTATTGGTGTAAAAACATAATATCTGCACAGATCTTGTGCTGTTTTAATTTAATAATGTAAACTGACATATAGACAGGGTATATTACGGAGTATTTTCCCCTTGTTTGATGCCAAAAATAGGTTTATTTTAATATGCCTCCCAACCAGGAAGTAAACACTCTCCCACAACATGATTTGTTAGCTCAGTCATGGCCATTCGTTCTGGATGGGCAGGCTGGAGAGAATTTCTCACTCGTTAGGAATCCTGTCACATGAGTAGCACAAGGCAGTGGCTATCTGAGCTATTAGCTGATGTAAACTGGATGTACAAACCTTATGCAAGCAGTATATCTAGGCAGCGGGAGCCGCAATGCCACTTAAGTTGTAGATCTGTGCATTCATGCATTGTGAGTAATTAGGACATCTCATAGTCCAAAATAAATTTGGACCTTTTCTGCCTCTCTTTTAGGTATTGCTTCATAGTCAATCAGTAAATCCCTAAAGTGTTATTTGATGTCCATGTCATTGAAGTGAAAAAGACAACTTCACTTGTCAGATTTATTAAGCATAATACTGACCTTTCTTAAACTCACAACAATATCTCTAGGCCTTTGAAGGTCAGGCACAGTGAATAAACAAGGCTGTTAGCAGTATATTTAAGTATCTAGTGTTTACGTCTGTTGACATAAAGTGAAAGCTGACTCCAATGTCAGACATATTGCCCTCTATAATTCTGTTATTGTGTTATCACATTCTGTAAGTTGAGGTATGCAATCCCTTTGCTATGACTTTTCGACCCTTCTTGTACTTACTCAGTTTATTTATACTGTATCACCAGTAACAAGATATCACTGCACAGCTTTGATATACTTTGTCTTTGGTATAACTGCTTGGAAACATCAAAGAGGTATCAAACCTTAGCCTAGAAAGCTTTTGTTTGGTGAACATACACCTTCAAACCGTAAAGCAGGAGGACAAGGCACATTAAGCCAGCTTGATCTCAGACAGCAGGGTTTGACAGGAGCTCCAGTGATCTGTCAAGATGGCAACAACAACATTAGTCAGTTCCTTGCAACAGAAAGAAGATATAAGGAACAGAGAGGCAAGTCCAGGCTTGATGTTGAGAGCACGATACTTACAATTTCAAGCTGTAGTTACGTAGGTCATTTAAACTCAAAATATATACACCTAATTTTACAGTTAAGATTTACTTAATGCAGGATGTGGAAGGCTGTTACTGACATTATTTAAACACAGCTGCTAATAACCAATAAATTGTGCCAGTAGTCAAATTCCATTAAAAAGTCTCTTTTCATGAAAAAAGATTACCAATAATCAGTGCTTCTAACACAATTGACATTTTTGGCAGTTTAACACAGAAAACATTTGAAACAGAATTGAAATCATTGTGTAGTAAAAACTGGAACCTGTGCTGACAGCAGGGTTATTTATCCCAGCTATTCAATGCTGCTAGAAGTCTGAGATTTGTTTTACGCTTGTATTGAATGATTAATCATAGTCATAATAGATCAATATGGCTATTACTTTTACACTTTATCATTTAGTCTAAAATATGCCAGAAACCAGTGAAAAATTAGTCATTGTGAAGTTGACGTCTTAGTAGTAACATGTTTTATCCAATCAATGTCCAAAAATGTTTAGTTTCTAATAATGCAAAACAGAAAAGCAGCAAATCCTCACATACTGAAAAGCATTTTACTTGAGACATGATTCGATTATCAAAACTTTCTGTTGTTTGACTTGAATGAATTGACTGTTTCCACCCTACTTGTTTGAAATATTAATTAAGGGGCCTAAGGCACTAAATAAATCAGTCAGTGTCAAAAGGATTCCATTGCAGTTGAATCCAGACTCCTACAATAAAAATAACATTAATGTTAAAAGAAGACAACTCCCTTTATTTTCCTGGCTTTGAATCCTATTGACGTCTCTGATGTGTACCATGCTTAGTGTTTAGTCATCTGTTTGGTTACATGAGCTCCCCAGTCCCCTGTGATGAGGGGGCAAATAGGTCAAGTGTGATGTGATGCTACAACTGCCCTCTCTGGAGGGTCAGCAAGCTGACAACAGGACGGTTCAGCATATATAGGGTCACTAAACACAATGTCAGCCTCTGGCATGCCATTGCCTCAAGGCCAAAATGTTCACAGAAAGAATGCAAGTTACTAAATTCAACTTAAAAATGCCAGATATTTGCTGTATCTGATGAAAGACGAGCATTTTTAACGTTGCCCGAATGAACTCTTCTTATCCTTTTTTATTTCTCCTAATTCAGCTCATGTGTATCCACTGCAGAGAAAGACAGCATAGGTAAGCTGCCTCGTTTGTTCTCATTTGTGGACACAGTATATGATGTAATTAGAAGTAATAGGCATGCAAATTTGTTTTCACCCCCAGGCGGGGACCACAGAGAGAAAAAATATAAAGTGCACAAACAGTTCGGTGATCATCGTGAAGGAGTGACTGGAGCCCGCACTTATTTCTATGCCGATGAGTCCAAATGTGACCAGCATATGGAGACCTTCATCAAATGCATCAAAGCATCTGGTAAGGTAACAAAAGTTTTAACTATTGTATATCAGTAATACAACTTCACAATATGGCTGTTTTGGCATGTTGTGTTAATGTTGTAATCCCTCAGCCAATTGACAGGTGGTCTGGTTCTGTAATCCACTCCATTTCTTAGATCTTTAAACATGCATTTGATTTATTTTGAAAATAAGTATGTTTGACCTCTAGGTGGGAGTTCAATGGATGGTTTCTCTGCCGTCAAAATGACTGCTCTTGGACGACCTCAGTTTCTGGTAGGCACTAAGATTGTAATTAAAAAGTCAATGCACTAGTTTACTGATACTGATACTCTCATGAAAGGGGTGGGGTGGAGTGACATCATTCTTTTTTTAAGCTCCAGTTCTCAGAAGTCCTGGTGAAATGGCGGCGATTTTTCTCCTTCCTGGCATCACAGCAGGGAAAAGATGGCATGGAGGCCTTAGAGCAGAGGCTGGAGCTGAAACAAATGCAGGTGGAGTTTTTCCTCATCTGTTCTCCTCGTGAACTTTAATTATGGTGGTACATGGATAATCTCTACCATATGCTACATCCAATGTTATAGATCAATTTCACATTCTTGTTCCATACACAATATGAGGCTGTTGCTTCACTATGTGCCTTGTAGTACTTTAGATCTTCATGTTCATTTAGGAATTCCTGACCAAACTGGGTGCAAAAGGAGACTTCTATGGCTGGTTTAGTGGGAAGAAAGAGGAATCTTCAGGGTAAGCATGAACACAGATGAACTAAATAGACAAGAAATATCTGTGAAACAATGTCAGTGTTGCACAAATTGAAAATATTTTGTTATATTCAAAGCAATTTAGAGGAAACTTCACTTAATTAAAAAATGCAGGACAAAAAGAACAAATTGTGTTCTGGTGGACTGCAATGCATCACAGAACAATCACCACTATTCCCCCAATATGCATAACAAAACACATTTATCATATAGCATCTTCATAGTTCACTTTATAGCACATGTTCAGTATTGTACAATATATGTGTTTTTTTAAGTAATAAGTTATCCGATTTGCTAACATTTACTGCTGAAATGTATGAGTATAATTCATTTTGAGGCATAATATACAAAAACAACACAGGAATTAGAAACACACTTCATACATACATCTCATAAAAAGTGAGAAACTATTTTATTACAATTGCATTAAAGTTAATCTTCAAGTACTTTACTTTTCTATGACAGAACCATTGACATGCTCGACTGGAACAGCCTAATAGATGATAGAACAAATATATCGGACCTGCTGGTCGTCCCAAATGTAGAGGTCAGTAGCATGAAACACTGAAAGAGAGAGAAATGTACTGTAAATAAATGCAGTTTAAAGAATGTCTTTAAATATAATTCAAGAACCAGACTCAAAGGAGACAATAATTTAGTTGCTACTAGCTGATTTAAAAGTAAAATGTTTTAAATTACATAATTGATTCCTTGTCAAGAAGCCCTTGTAAATATTAAGTGTTTAGGCAAGTTATCTCTTGACCTTGGACTAAAGACAGCTGAAGGGTGGGTAAAGTGAGAAGCACTAATATGTATCATGCTGTGTGATGTTGGGTTCATTAGCATCTCATAGTGTGCATTCTCCTGGGTTGTTTGCCCAGCTAGGTGAGCTGGAGCCTCTGCTGGAGATGTTCACTGTAGAGGAAGAGAACCAAATGAAGAGGATTTTACAGCGCATGGACGTCTTAGTCAAGGTAAACGCGCTTTTAGTACAAAGGCTGATCACTGTACACAAACAAACACACACTTAGGAACAGTTTGTTGTTAATTTGCAAGGTGCAAGCACTTATAGTTGAACCAAGTGTGGCATCTTTATCACGACGGCAGCATGTTTATTGGTTAAATATGTCTGTTGTCTGAAATATCCATGTTTATTAGTTAACATGCCACAGCAGTGGAGTGATGATTCATAGCAAGCTTTGCTTTCTTGGTATCATTTGAATACAGAATGCATACACTTACTAATATGAATAGATCATTTTCAGGTCAATACAGATGTGGTACTACCTATTGTGTGAAATCTGTATTATACATTGTCATTGCCACTGCAGCGCTGCTAACAACTGTAACACAAGCACAAAAACAAATCTAAGGTATATAATTCAATTCATTTTTAGTTAAACTAATGCATAATAAACACTCTTAGGCGATATTATACTAAATACATTTGATTTTGTTTTTTATTCCAGCATGCTATGGAGAATGGCGTTCGCTTGATGGTGGATGCAGAGCAAACCTACTTCCAGCCAGCTATCAGCAGACTGACATTAGAGATGCAGAGGACCTACAACAAAGAAAAACCTGTCATCTTCAACACCTACCAATGCTACCTCAAGGTCAGAATACACAATTCATGAAAAATACCAGAGATGCCAGATCAAAAGTATAAATTATGTGCATGCAGACACAACAGTTACAATAGACCTTGTTCACAGTAGCCATTTTGACATGAAATAGTAGGGTAAACACAGGTGTTACCAATGATACTAGTTCATTTTCAGTCAGGGGGGCTACTATTGTAAATGTTGGCTCACTGGAAAGACTCTGCTACACTAAAAGGAACACAACCTTAATAAGAATTATTGGTTATACTTTTGTTTACCCTACTCCAGCAACTCCAGATTTCAACATGTAAAGAGATTACTATGAGTCAGCTGAGTTGAGGATATAACAGCGTCAGGAAGCAGAAGATAATGTTGGAGGGAATTTTGATGCTTTATTTTTTTATTTTTTTTAAATACACCATTTCAAATGAGAAGCTGTTTAAGTCACAGTAGTGTGTCATTCATGCGATTAACACCTTTTTTTCAACCGTATTATTATTCTATCAAAAGTACATAGGCTTACCATATTGTCAGCTAAAACATGCAGTACTGTAGAATAAAGATAAATACTACATGTCGGATAAAATATAAATATATATAAAATATATAGGTTATTGTGGGTCCCACTTGTCTCATGGAGGTACTGTGTGTAATAATACACCAGTGCTTTGCTGCTGACGTTACCATTACCAGAATTCTTGGGCAAGTTCTCAAAATGTGTTGCTTTTATTTAATTTTGTCATTTATATGGAAACAGCCATAAATTGATTTCCTATTTTTGTCTGGTTGGTTATAATAGGTGGCAGGTAGAATAAATATGCTGATACATGATGTAAGAATAGTGTCACTGTATTGTGCAGTAACACATCATTTGGTTCTGTATTTGTTGGTAAAAATGGGAAATGTGCTGAGCTCAATATTCTAAATGTTTGCAAATTTTGTCTTAAGTCTTAAGTCTAGTCTAAGTCTAAAGCGTGAATGATCCTCTTTTTTTGCTCTGCAGGAAGCCTATGACAGTGTGACTATGGATGTAGAATTGTCTCGACGTGAGGGTTGGCATTTCGCTGCCAAGCTGGTGCGTGGGGCCTACATGTATCAGGAGCGAGAGAGGGCCAATGAGAATGGTTATGAGGACCCTATTAACCCTGATTATGAGACTACCAATTGGATGTACCACAGGCAAGAGGCTTGTTTGTTTTGTTTATTAACTGACGACTGTTCAAATCTTTTAGCTAAGTTTCTTCTGAAGCTGCTATTACTTTAGTATGACGGAGTATTAGGGCCATACTAAGAGAAAAAAAATATTTTTGGGGGGGAAATTACGAGAATAAAGTCATAATATTACGAGAATAAAGTCATAATATTAGGTCTACGAGAATAAAGTTATAACATTACGTCGTAATATTGCTGAGAATAAAGTCTTAATATTGCAGAATAAAAGTCGAAACATTACGAGAAGTAATAATTTTTTTAAATAATTTTTTATTATGTAGTATGGCCCTAATACTCGTCGTTCTTTAGCCTTATGCTACTTTAAAGATACATGTCATGTTTAAAGATTCCCCAGGAAAGAACTTCAATCTGAGTTTACCATGTGGCTCCCAGATTTAAACTGGCCACCTTCTAGGCTCAAACCTGCTACAATGGACAGCACAGGGATTTAATTATTAGGTCCTTCAATCGGAGTTTCTGGGTGCAACATCGTATGTCAGCAAGCTTCCACCCTGTTGAGTTGTGCAAACTCCAGAAACTCCAGGGGTGCTGTGTTGCAACAATTTCCTGACATTCCTAGATTAAGCAAGCTGAAAGAAATCACCCTGTGGAGATCAATATGTTTTGCACAAAAAGAGGAAAGGCCACCCTCAAGTATTCAATTAGATTTTGAGGTAAACATAAACTTCGGACAGACAAAAAGTTTGGCTGATGGGCTACAGCACAGCATGAATTGGGATTCAAAATATGCAGATGGTGGTTAAGTACATGCATATTAACACAGCTACACTAACAGGAGAGCAGAAGGCAGAGGTCCTTCCTGAATGGATTGGTTCAGATTTGTGGTAAATATGTTCAGTGATTTGGGACATTTTTCCATTAAGCTGTGTAAAGACTGTCCTGCAACACACAATAAATCTTACATGCTAATGAGAAAGATTTGTTTGGATGGGCTATGATGCAATGTAAGCCACAATATGCATACACTATACTACATATTATATTTTAATATTATAAAGTGAACAGTTTAATAGTTAATTTTGCCTTCCTGTGTGTTTGTGTAAGGTGTCTGGACTATGTGCTGGATGAGATTGCACTCAACAGAAATGCCAACGTGATGGTGGCTTCCCATAATGAGGACACAGTGAAACACACCTTGAAGAGGTACGGTTCCAACTTTTTGATATTTTTTTTATGCAGCTTTGCATCTGTGTCAACTAAGTTATTATAAGTCTCTCTCTCTCTCTCTGTCTCTCTCTCTCTCTGTCTCTCTCTGTCTCTCTCTCATTCAGAATGAATGAGCTGGGTCTCTTACCCACAGAGAACAAGGTGTACTTCGGTCAACTACTGGGCATGTGTGATCAGATCAGCTTTCCACTGGGTGAGAAAAACACGCACACACATGCTCTAGCTCAATAAGAAGCCACCGATGTTTGCTCCCCCACGTAAGGATGATCTGACAGGTTAAGTTCAGCCCCTGCCGGATCTGATCTGATCTGTATGTGCTGCGCTCCCCTTTAACTGTCACATGCCTTTCAGCTACACATACATATCTCACAGACCACTTGGAGTGCATCATGTGCACATGCAGAAGTCAGTGTGCTGCCTATAACAGGACATATGAACTGAGACACCTCGGTATTGACAAGCTGTCTTAACAAAGTGCTGCTGCTGCTGGCTCTCACCACTTTGTTTGTCAGTCAAAGACAGACACTGTGGCGGCAGGCAGTTGTCTGTCAATGTGAGGCTCAAGTTGAAACAGCCTTGACCAGTATTGATGTAAACCGACAAGTGTTTCTTGGCTGTTTTTTCGAGGGATGGAGCAGTCAGTGCCGTCGTTGAATCTTTGAAGTTGTTTTGTGAAATAAAGCAGATTAGAGTTGAGATCTTTATTATTTGTCTGTCACTTAATCCATCTTTTTTCTTAATAAAAAGGTGCCGGATTCAGTTTTTACGATTTTGTTTTCAGGTATGCTGAGGCTTAGGAAAATCGTTTCATGACTTTTTTTTTGTTTTATCGTATCATGTTCTGATGTTTTTGCCAGTGCTTGTGCATTAGTTAAAAGCACATTCATTTCCTTGGATTTGAAGAGAAAGCCCCAGCGAAAACAGTCACAGTATGTGAGCCTGACTGGCAGACAACAGCAGCTCCTCTGATTCAAATGCAGAAAAATGAGGATGTCTGTGCAAATGCAGCAAACCTGCCTGATTAGAAGGATTGTAGCAATCATTCAGCGAAGGAAGCCAGTTGAGATGAAGTTCAGTTGTGATGTGTTCTCTGGAGTTTAGAAAAAACCTGTTAAAATAATGTGCTCCTGAAATTCCAACTAGTCAATCAAAAATCTGAATTTAACAATTTCTTCATGAAAAGCGAACTACAAAGACCTCTTTTTCTTTTGTTTTCTCCCATCAAATCATCTTCAACCCCAGGCCAGGCCGGATTTCCCGTCTATAAGTATGTCCCATACGGGCCGGTGAACGAGGTGATGCCCTACCTGTCTCGGCGGGCCCAGGAGAACCGAGGCTTCATGAAGGGTGCCCAAAAGGAGAGGGAGCTGCTGTGGCAGGAGCTGAAACGCAGAGTTGCCTCTGGGGAGCTTCTCTACAGACCAGCGTACTGAAAACACAGAAGAAGAAACAAAGAGTAGTGTGTCAATGTGTCAAGTTTTTTTCTCCCATTTTTTTTCATCTTCCCTGTTGACGGCTGCTGCTGTGGCTGTCTGTTCTGTCTCTCCCTCAGCACAGCTCTCCCTGGTTGTACATCTCCTGTTCTACCCTGTCCTGGAGTTTTCTTGCTGATGGACTGTTTCGGCGTGTCACTCTCTTTTTCTGTCTTCCCACTATTGTTTTTCTCCATTCTGTTCTTCACTGATGTTACCCACCTTCACCCCCTCATCCTTTCTTCTTTGCACTGGCCATGTTCTCTCTATTTCTTTTCCTTATCCGCCTCTGCATCCATAAGTATCCTTCATTTTGTCTTCCCGTTGTCTATAGAGCTCTGGTATCCATCAAGTGGGCATCTTTACTGCTCCAAAAGGACTCCCTAAAATGTCAACGAGACCGTGGCGGGCGTCTCTTTTTATCACCCTATTTATCTTGGAGAGGGATAACAATAATAAAAATAACAGGCTTGATTTAAATGGTAGTAAAGGAAACATCAATATTCTCCTCCTATATTATGTTTTTTTGACTCTTGGACAGCCACACAGTACCCCAAGGAGGATTCTCTGTACTTTGTTTGAGGTTGTATTGCTGGTTTGAAAACGATGCCTGTTTATGAATCAGTGAGAAAGTATAAACGGTTTCCATCCAGCACATCCCTCTTCTAAGAGTGCGCGATGCTTTTGTATTTGTATTTACTGGAGGATGCTATATTCTTGGTCACTGAGGTGTTACAAGAGAACATACGGTGTTCAGAATTCAGTGAGTGAATCTCCTTTAAATACAGACGCCTGCAAGACTGGCGGGTTGTGGGTTTTTTTGTTGTTGTTTTTTACATGACAAAATAATATGCAAGGGAATAATAACTTAGAGGGTTGGTTTTTGGTCTTATTGCGTTTTGATGGTTCAACACTGTGCAGTTTTTATCTCTGACAATGTAAATATGTTTGAATCAGGTAATGCCGTCTTTTGGTTTTACATGTCTCACTTTATGGACCTGTGAAATTGCTCAATGAATAAATATGCATTGTTTGAATATCAAAAGTCAACTTTTTGTTAAAAGGAGGACCAGATGTTATTGACTGCAGTGTTGTAGCTGTGAGCTATTTTGTACAGCTTGGGTTGTTTTGGGCTTTAATTCTGGGACATCCTCCGCTTGGTTATTGATACACAATTAGTATTTGAGTCAGAGGGTAACCAAGCTTCATGATAATTATGGCCTTGTCATTTTATGAGAGCAGTCAGTGCTCTGTAGACATCATTTAATTACCCATGATGCTACGCTCAATACAGATCACAGAAATTGGATGCATTAATCATTACTCAGAAGAAACTTTAGTGGCTGTTAAGTTTTACTGAGGCAAAGCACCACAGAGCTGTCACTGCTGCTGTATTCTATCGGTTTAATTAAGAATCAAGCATACGTTTGATGTAAGATGTGCCTTTGGGTATACATTTGCCAACAAATTCCTTCTCACAGGCCACTGGAGTTTTCCTGGTTAGCTTCAGTTGCAAAGATGATTTAGAGGACACATTATAGTGTGAAAAATTCTACAAAAGTTCCAAGTCAGTCAAAACCAGCATGGGCGCAGCATGTTCTATGGGACACTTCTCCCTACATTAAAGCACACAGGCATGTAATAGAGTCAGTCAGGGCTAATTTACTTTACGTAATGAATGTTGACTTTGTGTTGTGCAAGACGTGAAGGGACGGCATTCGTAACGAACGATTTCTTTGGGCTCCTCGGCCTTTGCTTCCACATGGTCTGACATCTTGGATTGTTTGTTTGGCTGTGCCCTTGGCTTTGTGGTTTCAGTGGGACCACACAACGTTCCGGTGGTTTTGAAAGCACAGCAACAGATGCCGTGACAGGCCCTGATTTGAGAACATACTGAGCAGTGTTTTTTTTTAGGTTTAGAAATCTGAAAGATTTAGTTTTTCTGTAGCACAAAGGATGGATTGGCTTTCTGCTGCATTCCAGCAGGCAATCTCTAATCAGTGTTTGTGTGCCAATAGATGAACTGACAGTAGGAGTATGATGGCTTTGAGCTTTTATCGTTTGACAGCAAATGGAGATTATTGGCTCAGAGTGCATTAAACAGAAAACTGGGCCCATTTGGTTCAACCATTGTAATCATACCCTCAGTAATATGATAATGTTCAAACTTTATTTCACTCCGGGAGGGCTGAGAAGCCCCAAATCGGTAACACTTCATAATTAGGGTAGCACAAATCATATACTTAAGTAATGCTGAACTAATGCATGACTCATGATTATTTAATGCATGAATTAATGCAGCATGTATCATGAATTCCTGTTGCTCACCATAAGTTACTTCATACATTAATAGATATTTGACCAAATCAGCTGTATTCCACTCACATAAAACTATTTAAGATCCACGTATGTGCTCAACTTCTCTGAAAGCAGAACAGTACTTGTTCTCATAGAAATGAAGTTATTTTTTAATCCAACTGGTTGTCAGATACAAACATTTACATAATAAACATAAATACAGTTATCTATAGTTTGCACTGTATTAGTTAAGCATTACTTAAGTATATGATTGGTACGCTTATAACAAAGTGTGAAAGAGAAATCACTGCAATATGCAGTAAAGGCTGATTTGTAATAACCATCTTGTAAAAGTTGAAAGGGTTTTCATCCGTCAACACAATGTTAACTGTGTAAGTTTACGTTAGCGATTTGATCTTCTCACTTCACCAACCATTTTAATTGGAACCAGAGTAATCAGCGTCAGTCTTATCAGTGTACTCCTTAATATAAATGTAGCAATAGTAGCAGTACTCACTCACTAAATGCCTTCTGACTGACTTTTGGCTGCACCATAACAGGAAAATCCAGTTTTCTTTCTTTTTCAGTTATCATCAGGTTTAAGTCATTGGGTTCTTCTGTATAAATGTAACATCAACACAGTGGAGATGGAGATGAAAAAAAAAAGCGGGAGACCTTCAACAACAGACAGTAGAGTGTATTTCCTGACATTGCAACATAATCGCAACATCATTTCTACATGGCCAGTCAGAATGACGAGCACAGTATAACTCAGTATATTGGCATCAGTGAAAATGCAGCAAGACATGTTGTCAATATTTTATAACAACATCTGAGGCTAACTTGGCTCAAATGTCCAACAAGGAGAAGGGCCTGTTAACTTTCTGCAAGACACTGACATTCCCCCAGTAAAATAATTGGCAGCACTTTACAAGGTACACAGAAAATCCCAAGTAATTACCAAAGAACAACCGCAGAACAAACCTGAAACTAGGCCTCAGTGCAAATTCACAAGTATCCCACGAATAGTTGTTGAACAATTGGAAATACACTATAGTCTAAATTCTATCTTCTACTATGTATTATTTATTGTACAGGTACAATAAATTTGAAGCTACAGCCAGCAGTTGGTTAGCTTAACAAAACTCCAGGAAGTCACTGAGAGCAGACTGCTAGACACTAACCAAATAAATGTGATACACAGACAGAAATTTAAACTGAGGCTGGATGACTACAACCACACTGCAGACAGCCGCTCCATCAAAAGGTTGTTATGCAAGTCTTTAACAGTAGTTTGCTCTTTGTTGTGTGTAGAAGGGGTGTTGTCTGAATCAGCTACTGTAGCCTAAAGCTGAAGAAGCTTTGGCTGTTTTGCACATGAAGAGTGTGACCTCTGACCAAGGATTAGCTCTTTGCTAATGATATTTCAGGCTATAAAACTTGTAAAAGCAACTGATGTGTGAAAAATTATCTCATATAACAAAATACATGAATAACATAAGCTTGCTGTGATCCACGATTACTGCAAGGCTTTAAAAAATGGATGCTGGGATGGATGGACAAATCACGAGCCTGTGGAAAACAGCTCCGACAAAAAGCTTACATCCAGTCTGGCATACATTAAAACATCACGGTGGACAACTTTGGGTTTCAACAGAGTTTTATTTGACTGTGAATTTCGCCAGCTGCGACTGTAATGCTCATCTGCATAATGTGGAAGTATTGCAGCCTTGCTTTACATCACCACCCGTCCTGTCAAGCGACATTCATGTTTGAATGGGGTTGCTGTTTACAATAGCTGCAAACTATTTGACTTGTCAAACATGGCCAGTTAGCACTTGTTAGTCCTGGTTAACAATGCAGTAGATCCACAGGTAGTGAAATAGTTGGTTGAGCTGACCAAACAGCACTGTCAAAACTTTGTATGCAATTCCCCCTTTGGCTCTGTCGTGGGGCATTTTCCCATGACTGCCTTTTATTATGATCAGAAATGAAGGGAATCTGTGTTGTTCATCACAGCTACTTAGTGAGAAATGTGATGAATCATTGAGCTAAGTTGACCTCAGAGCCTGGACCCGGCCCCGCACTGAAGGAATCCCCCTGGCCGCAGTAAGCTCTGATGTGAACCAGCGAGTAAACAAATGAGTCGTAAACACAACAGATGGGACAGGCGATGACTAATCCCATCAGCCCAAATAGAGTGGCACAACGTAGCACAAAATGATCAAAAGCCGAGGGAGAGCCGGCGAGAGGGGAGAGATGGTGAAGTTTGTGTTTTCCGTCCTGCACGCTGTCAAGTGTGCATGACGGAGAACACTTTTATTTCACACACCAAAGCGTCACATCGTGCCACCTCCATCGGTGTCATCACTGTGCTATCAAACACAAATCACTGAAATCATCTGCCAAATCTCCTGAGTGGATGTGTGTGGCAGAGCGTTGTCACTTATCACAGGTTTTGTGACAGGGAGAACTGGGAAAAATGCAAATAATATATCACACGCCTCACACATCCCTAAAATTAATTTATTTTTCTTCCAGACAGTCAGTCAGTCACTCATCACTGACTGGTTTGTGTTTTTAGTAATTTCATTTGGAGGCGAGTAAAGCTGTCCAGAAAGAATTAAAAAATACAATGGCCATGACAGAGGCCTCCCAATCCTCTTCCTCAATTTCACCTCTAACGGTGGATGACACAAACTGAATCTTTTCTCGATTTCTTACAGTCGGCCATTTCTCCCCCAACACCTAAACCTTTTGTTCTGCGCCAATGAATGGCGCCCATGTAGTATAGATCATTAAACCTCTTTCATCTCCTCTCTTTGAGATGCATGCTGTTTTCCCCTTTAAAAGCGATAAGCATGGTGCAGCGCGAATGAGGCACGGCTAGATAGAAAAAAGAAGACAGGAGGTTTCTGTGTGAGAGGGTGGGTGTTGAAGAGGAAACTGCTTAGAGAATGCCACCAGTGTGGAGCAGAGCAAGCGATCCGTCACAGCCGCTGGCCAAACATCCTTGTTCCAAAACTTACCCCGAAGGCCTAGATTTGCTACCTTTGCCCCCCCACACACGCACACACAAAGGTGCCAATGCATAACCTAACATGTGCACATTTAAAACATTCAGAAAGTGGAAACATAAATGCGTACGCAGTCACACATTCATGCGTTGACAGTATACACAGGCTCTTACAAACACACCTGCACCCACACACACACACAGACACACACTCTTCCTCCCATCAGTTCTCATATCTATCAGTCTTGGGTGAGAGATGATTTGGAGCGGCTCAATGTTTTGATCATTAGTTTGGACTCATGGAGTGCAGTAGTGGTGAAAAATGAGACTGCTATCTCATGGCCACCTGTTCTTTTAATAAGAAAAAGAACAATTCCCCATCACAGGATGGATTGGCTACCTGATGCCTGGGGAAGAAAACCATGTTGGTATGTGTATGCGATTTTTTTCCTGGGTGCGTATACATGTGAATTCAATTCTGCCTATATACTGTATGTCTATGGATATGTTGTTTACACAACAGCTGGGATAAAGCACATAAATCTTCTTGGAGTACAAAGATCACACAGTAGATATGTGTGAATATATCAGGTACTGTGGTGCCTATCTTTGCCACGTATCTTCTGAGAGTTGTTTCCCCTTTATAACACATTGTTCCAACTTAATTGGCTTTTTAAATGGCCTTTAGACCCATTGTTGCTTAAAAAGGTTCCTAACTAGGCTAAAGTAGCCTAGCGAGTAGAGTCCAACAGTGTTGCTGGCTGGTTGGCAAAAAGTTACATTTGAAGATTGGGACAGTTGAATGAATTACTGTTTTATTCTGTGTGCCTGAATGTGCAATGCACATTAGCACACAGTTTAATCCTATCCATATATTTTTTTTAATATTTAGATTCAAATTATAACAAAGGTGTGTCACCAGAAACCAGTTTATTAAAAATAGTATAGAAATAATCTACCAACCAAATAATAACAGCATACACTATCCAATATCTATATTGTTGTGTTTTAAGTTGACAAATTTTGCCGTTTCAAGATTAAGAAGTCTTTATAGTCCATGATCAAACTAGTATCACTATTAATTACAATCAATAAATACATATATTTTCACAGCAGCAATTTTGACATAAACACAGGTGTTCCATTTATTCATTGGAGTCAGGCATGTTGGCTCAATAGAAAGGCTCTGCTACACTAAATGAAATCTGTTCCCTAATTTGTAATAGCTATACCTATACTACCTATATATATCCTATACACCACCCCAAAATGACTGCTGTGTTTCTTCCCCTGTTGTTCTAACATCAAATGTTAGATAGCTTGTCAGAAAATAATATGAACAGGCCTTTTGTCAATCAATTTGGTAATCAAGTTATGCAGACTTTGAATTTGTTCTATGTGTACAAAGGTCTTTCTATTACATTATTTCCCACATTTTTTCCTTATACTGTTTATGCACACATAAACATCCAATCACTGTTATGCCCACTGTGTGTGATCATTTGTCCATTTGATTATGCCTGCATGTTCGCCTGTGGCTTTCAGTCCATCTTTATGTATGCGTGTTATTGGATATGTGTGTGTATGCCTATAGAAAGCAGCATGCTACTAGGCAAACGCAGCGTGATGCTCCTTGGTTTGGGGATCCAACTGTCAAGAACGGCCATGCCAGAACGGTAGGAGGAAAATTTACCCAACCAGTGATGCTGAGATGAAAGCAGAGAGAGCATAGCAGCCGAGCTGGTTTTGCTGATCTGCAGAGAGCGGACAAACAGCGATCAACCAGATTGGTGTTTGGATTTGTTGGAGATATTTTTGGGGTGCTTTTGTGAAAGCAGCAGAGCTAAACCAAAGTAAATAAACAATGTTAAACTGAACCTTATAGCTCAGAGCCACTTCCAAATTGTACATATTCTTATCTTTCTCTTTCTCACTAGCATTTGTTTTAGATTCACCCGTGCCACAAAACATATTTTCTCACCTTCCTCAGAAGCTATCTGGTCATGCACATATTTGTGGTTTTATTTGTTCAGATTTTGAGATGTATTTTGTGCTTTCTTCCTCCACCCCAATAACAGAGGTGAATGGAATTCCATCTGTGCTTTTCAAAGCATGCAGCAGAAATTACAGCAGAAAGTGCACAGAGACAGGTAACTCCTGGAAAACACTTGCCTGATCAGATATCACCATACAGGAAATTGAAAATCAATAAATAAATCAATCAATTGGGTGAACTGACCCTTAAAGCAATAATTGATAAGCTTTATAGAAATGAAAACAATTGTATGATACTGTGTATATTACAGTATATCAAAAAGATGCAAAATATCATAAGATGTTATTAAGTATATAAGTATAAAACTGTTGATTATAGCTAGTTTCAGTTTCCTTGGTATAATTAATTTGTACAACACATTTCGGTTTTAATGAAAATGTGATCTGACCATGTAATCCACTGTGTGATACAGTTTTTTTTATATTTTCTTGCATTTTTTTCCTCTAGTGAGTTATAAATGCTTAACTGGGCAGTCTTATTCAATAAAATAGCTTTAAAAAGGACAAAATACAATTGCATTGAGCTGTTCTTTTCAGAAGATGATGAATAAATTAAATGATAATATAGGTGTCTTGAATGAATGGAACTAATTTGAAACAGGACACTTTAATCACAGGTCCAGTTTCCCAATGTAATCAGATTTTGGGATGAAGAGACATGCTATAGAGGGTATACAGTAGATACACTGAATAGGGTTGAAAAGAAGAGCAGTTGGAGGTGAGCTGAGAGCAGTGTCAGCAGTATTAACTTATTTGATCCTTCTCCAAACAGGATATGAATAATTGCTTGTTTTATTTCGGGATGATGAGTCAGAGAAGCGCCTCCCTATTCTTACACAACCTAAGGCTGAACGTGAGGCGGCAGCCTATAAGAGACCTGATTTTCTGGATAAGAGAGCCAAGTCTGGCACATCTTCATTGATTTCTCCCTCTCCCATGTGCTTGTGTAGGCTCCGACTCAGAGCTACAGAAAGAGGGCGTGTGAAGGGGAAAAAATGGACATCTCATCCGTTCTCCTTCAGAGTTTTGGACACCCACATCTTCATTGAAGCCATGACCACGATGCCTATATGAGGAAACTGAACCCACACGTTCTTGCCTCGCCAAATGCTCAGTAGAGGAGAGCCTCTGGAATCAAGCCTGAGTGAAAAAAAACATGTTAACCTGGCAGCAAACACCAGGGGGCAGTAGTAGTCTTCACGGCCCTGCCATGAACCTCGACCCAGCTGTGTGTATGTGTGTGAGAAAGAGATCCTCAGCAGCATCTTCTCCTCCACAATCCTCAGTCCTAAAAAGCCCTTTTAAAAGACTGTATGAAAATTCATCGTGCTTTCAAACTGACCTATTTTGGGAGATTGGTTGCTTGGCTTCGCTGAAACCCTATCCCCCCC